CATTTGTCTTTGAGTAACCCAAACGGACTATTTTTTCTGTCTGGTAATTTTTATGTCTCTTGTAGGGTGTTCTGTTATTCTACAGACACATTTTATACATTGGTCAGAGTCACTTAGAGCTGCTAAAGCCTCTCTCACTTTACAAAGATCACCGTCCCATTAAAGGGCTTAGGAAAACCATTGAAGCTCCATACCATTAAGAGGTCCTAGTTGAAGCTTTCCTTTATATCTCTGGTGAACACAGTCTTATCTGGACCATTGAACAGGGCATCATATATTCCTCTTCTCATACCTAGCTCTCTCAGTAATGCCTGTCCCTTCTTTATAGTCCTCCAACTGCTGTTAATTATGGGAGTTTCCCTTGCTGATGACCATATATCTCTAATGCCTTTAACCAGCCATCCCGTTAAGAACTGCTCCCCACTGCATTGGCCTGGGTTGAACAGTCTATATTGCAAGGATGGATGGGTGGTTATATACCTCAGCTGTGAAGCTTCTGAAGGACTTAGACTGAGAGCGTTATTTGCTCCCACGTCCCATACCGTCATGAGTCACATGCCAAGGGGCTCTTTGAGTGCTTGCTGTAAGTTTTCCCAGTTTTAACAGTTCCAGTGTGGAGTATTTCCTAGCTACAGTACTGTTAGCTTTTTTTCCCTTTTTTATCAAAGGTTGAATCTGAGGGGCAGCTTTAGCTACTTTTATTTTTAGGTTATTTTCTTTTTCTGTCTTTGTCCAGAGTCCTTGGACCTTACACAAGTTAAAATGTCCTATGTTTTTCCCAAGTTCTGCAACTAGATCTGCCAGGACCTCCTCAGCCTTCTCAGCTTTCCCTGCCTGGGGCAAATCTTTTATTATGCAAAGTGGCCACACCCCCTCTCTGGGTTCTCTGCTTGTGTCCCAGGCCTGTAAAAGCCTTCTATAACCTTTAACAAATCTTCATATGCCTGCAAATGGGCTATTTCCCCACATTTACAACACAGCTGTGGCCCACACTTCTACTTGGCCAGCCCACTTTCTGTTACATGTTTTATAATCCATTGTAAGATCCATGTCAGGGCCACCATTAGCTCCCTATCTTTTGTCAAACTCCTGAAGTTTGTCATTCCTAGTGCCACTATTCTACCGGCTGGGCCAATCTGTCCCAAGTTCTCTTAGGGTCCCTTGCTCCTGGCACTATTAAACAAACTATATAACACATCTTTATCTGAATTTTTCATAGTTTATATCCTGAGTAGGGGAAATAGAGTAACTTACAAATGCGGACACCAGCACCCCACATAAGGTGAATACCTGCCACTCCCAATCACTTCTGCTCCCCACTCAGAGACTTTATTAACTTTCGCTCATGGGCCCACAGTCTCGTCCCAGGTCAGTAAATGCCCCCTCTCGAGTCCATGTTGGCTAGACACTGGGACCATTTTTTTGTGCAGCCCTCTTCCTGGATCATGCCAATGCTCCTCCTTCTGTGCCTAACTCTCCACAGCTCCCTCTCCATAGCTAAGTCTCCACAGCCAATTCTCCGCAGATGTCCAGTCCCTTGGAGGAACAAGTACCCTTCAGGACACACACCCCTTAGACCCCCAAACCAGATTTCATGCATTCTGTCATATATATTAAGGCCTATCAAATCAAGTTTGTGTACCCAGATGTCCCTCAGTGTGAGTTTATCCCCTAGAGCCTAGTCAGCCTATTTAGCATCACTCCCTTAAAGAAGAGCAACTATCCTTCACCCAGGAGTGATCAGCTGCCAATAGTTCTTCAGCTAAGGTTGGGGTTCTTACACATTTCCCCACTTTTATGCTGGAATTTTGTCTGGTTTGAGTTTGCATGGATCTTGTGCAAGCTATCACCATTGCAGTCAGTTCATATGAGCAAGTTCCCAACTGCCTAGAAAACTGTTTCCTTGTGGTCATCCACCACCCCTGGCTCTTACAGTCTTTCTACCTCCTCTTCCACAATGGTCCCTGAGTTCAGGGTGACAGAGGTTTAATATAAAAATCCTATCCAGGGACACTCTGCAGTCTCTTATTCTCTGCACTTTGACCAGTTGTGGCTTTCTGTGTTAATCACCCTCTGTTGCATGAGGAAGCGTCACTGATTCACTGATGAGAGTTGAGAGATGAATTAATATGCTCTCAGCCCCCAGGTCCTCTATGCTCCATGAGCCTTAGGTGTAGAAGTTTCTTTATAGATTTGTCAGTTAGTCAACCTTTGGCCACCAGTAAAAGAACACTTGTTTTTACACAGGTTGTTTCTTTATTATTTTTTTTTTTTCACGAAACTGCAATCTACATGTTAGGAATACTTAGTGCAATTGAGTCAATGCTTTTAGAGTTCTGAAGTGCATAGCTCTCAAGCAGGGATAAAATACTTAATTTTAAACTTGATTTTCTAGCTCGATTTTCAGAACATGGGACTTTAACCACTTCTGTGTTAGATATGTATGCCCTTCCATCTTCACCAAGAATCTTGTCCTCAAGGACACAGGGGAATATGAACTTACAAGTCTCCAAAGTTGCTCAGTCTATAGTATGTTAGCCTTAGAATGACTACAATAACAGCACCACTGTCAGTAATACTCATTCGGTTATTTGTTGTATGTAGACTATTCGTATGATCCTTCAGTTCTGTCTTACCATTGTAGTATATCAATAATATCACAACATGAAGATATTACAAAATAAAATATCTCCTTTTAATTGTCACATAGTTTAGTTTGCTGAGTTTATTGTTCAGCAGTTAGCTTTCAGGTCACAGTAGTTTTCTGGCCATTTTGGTTGTCTAAAACTTATTTTCTATTAATTCTAGTGATCAAGGAAACAATATCCAATAACTGTTCAGAAATTAGTAACAGTTTGACTATGCTCAACTGTTATAATTAAACTTTATTTAATATGAAATCCTTCAATTATATTTTCCCACCTAAAATTAAAACTGAATTGCTATAATTCTGTTAGAAGATATTATTATTAGAAAACTTGATAGTGGTCTAATTCCACCTTGATAAGTCATGTATTATTTTTATTTATATTCATGAAAATTAATTATCTCCAAGGACTCCAATTACTTGCATATTAGTTCTTCATTCACCATCTTTCATATTGATACTGTCTCCAAATTCATTATTTCTCCTTATCCTTAAGTTTTTTTCTGTCTTGTTTTTATTTTCTACTTCTTGTGGCGATTTCAATCCTCTGGTTACCCTTAATTTTAAATTTACTTTTTTATTTACATTTCAATTTTTCTGGAATTATGTCATCTCAACTTTAGTTTTTCTGTGGTTTATGTAACACCTTCATGTCTGGCCTAACATTATGCCATTTAGCTCATTTTGAAATAACAAACTGAAATAATCTACTCCGCTTGTGTCTTTATCCTACTTGCATCCATTTTGTGCAGTTGTCTGCAGCAATAACATACCTTCCTTATTTTCTTTTCTTTTGTGAGAAGTGTTACCTCATACATATGCGAGTTGTTCAATGAATTTGCAGAAGTTCAAATAACTTTATAAAATCCCAAAGCTCTGTTTCCTCTGTCTTCTCTAAAACCAAGCACAGCAAAGGGTATACTGCAGGTAGAACCAAGTCTAAGCCCTACTTTCTTCTTTGGACCCCACTGAACTAAGGATGTCTCATTTTATGTTCTTGAAGTCTGGTACACAACAAACAGAAACAAATATTTCAAAGAGGCAATGCCATTTTCAAGGCTACAGTTTCAATGTTCTAGTTTATTTCTTTATTTTTGTTTTGTGTTCATAAGTGTTTTGCATGTCTTTCTGTAAGCACACCCATGTTTGCAGTGACCACAGAGGCCAGAAGAAGGTGTCAGATCTCCTCAACTTGCATTATAGATGGTTGTTAGCTACCAATGTGGAAGCTGGGAAATGAATTCTGCAAAAGCAGCCAGTGCTCTTAACCTCTGAGCCATCTCTCAGACCCCTTAAGGTTAATGTACCTGCAGAAAACTGCCTATTCCTGATAAAGAGTAAAACTATGGAAGCTGTGTTGAGAGTTTCCATACTTACTCCTCTTGCTTCCTTTATCTGAACTTTCCCTCCTCTTCCTCCTATGAACTTGGTAGTTTTTTCCTGCTTAGCTCCTGATCTACATTCAATCTATTCCTGTGATAAACACCATGACCAAAGGTGGCTTGGGAGATGACAGAATTCATAAAAGCTCATCTTTCCAGGTCCACCTTTGAGGGAAGTGAAGGAAAAAACAAAGCAGGGCAGGAACTTGAAGCAAAAATCCATGAAGGAATGCTACTTCCTGACTAGCTTTCTGTTTCATGCCCAGGTAGATTTATTATACAGTCCAGACACACTTGCCGTGGCCTGGCATCTCCTACAGTGGGCTGGGCTATATAAGAAATCTAGCTATATAAGAAATCAACCGTCAGTCAAAAAAATCTCTCACAGACATGTCCACAGGCCAATTTGATCTGGGAATATCCTCAGCTGAGGTTCCTACTTTGGAGATGATGCCACATTGTGTCAAGTTGACAATAAAAATTAACCAGCCAAGGTTCTGTACTGGAGAGAAGACATCATAGCTACAAGTGACTGTGTTCATTCTCAAACTAATCTGTTGTGCCTTTCAACACTACCTGATGGTTTCTTAGGGTTGTCCTGATTTCAGATCTTATATACACTTGTGGTTTGATTGATACAGATGTGGTTGTCACATAAGTCACTGGGCTGTTGACTGGCTACCCTCAACCACCTGTATTTCAGGGTTTGAGAACATACATCATCACCTCACTTGTACACAGTGTCTGAATGTTTTTGACTTTCTACCCAGTTGTGCATTTACAATTCATATGAGAATTAAGGTAGATCAAAAATCTCTATTGACATTTTTCCCAGAATTCAACTCACTCACTTTCAAAGAGCAATTTATTTAAGAGATTATATTAAATTTGTTTTCAGGAAAATGTTTATCCTGAGTATTTCAATGCACCAACTAAATTGGGACATTCAAATTGTTTCTGTTTTCCTCTAGAGTCAAGTTCGCATTATGTAATCTCCCTAAAAGCTTTCAACAACGCCGGAGAAGGTGTTCCTCTTTATGAAAGTGCCACCACCCGGTCTATAACAGGTACGCACCCATCATTAATAATCTGGTTTCAAGGTAATCAGTGTTTTAAAATGAAATTTAAAAAATGGAAAGTTTTTTAAAGGCATACATTAATTATCTTTTGAATCCTGAATGTGTATGAGAGTATAAATGTGAATATGTGCACTCATCTTTGTGCACAAGTTGCACAATATCTTTTAATTCTTTGGTTTCTAAAATCAGTGGGAGGGATTCAGTGTACAGGTTTGTACATGGGATAAGAGAATTTAGCTCTTGGCTTCTTGGTCATCTCAGCAACTTCCTAGTTAGTGCCTTGATGTGATATTTCATTTGGCTAGCATGTTTTCTCAGATGCTGCCACCTGAGGAGAGCTATGTGAGCTAAGGCTGTAGATGCCCAAAAGGCACTTGGTCCTTGTACATGATCCTTCAGCCAAATGACAAGGCTGACCTGTCATCTCAGTGATGGTTGGACTAGGCTGAGTTACAGGATGGCTTCTTCCTGAGTTGTCACATGACAGTAGACACGCAAAGGACGGTTGGTTCAAAGGTTCATTTCTTCTACAACAGATACATGAGCTGAATTGGAAAGATAACAAATAAAAGAAAAGGGGCAAAAGAACCCGGGACAGGATATTGTGAGATCTAAACCATTTATGAAGGCATTAAGAAGGCTGAACTTGCCTGGCATGGTGGCACATGCCTTTAATACCAGCACCCAGGAGGCAGAGGCAGGAGGATGTCTGGGAGTTGGAGACCAGCGTGGTCTCCATTGTGAATCCAGGCCAGCTGGGGCTACAGGGAGACCCTGTCTCAAAAAGACCAAAAACATAATAATAATAAGGCTGAACTGACTCCAAAATAGAGTATCAGCTTTGTGGGCCTCCAGAAAACCACTTCTTCATGTTCTTTCTCCCAACATATTTATGTCTGAAATCTGGACAAAACACCCCAACGTTTCATATCTTCCCTTAATACTTTGTGTCTACCTCCTCCCAAAACCCTCATCGTTCAGACATCATCTGAATAGCCATCTATTTTCTCCTAAATGAGAATAAAATATCTAGGAGGACTCCATATTTGATGGTAAAAGGTCTAGTAATTTCCAAATTTGATATTAAACATCAGAGAGCATGAAAAGTTACAGCAGTATAAATTCTAGATGAAAAATGAATGAGTACTTCGAAAATAAACAGTGGGAGCCTCTAATTTCTTATATTACCAAATTCGCATCAAGTTTGTATAGTTTACTTTTCAACCTACACTCACAAGACACAGACCGTATTGAGAATATAGTCATTATTTGATGGTTTCCAAAGGTACCATCACTTTATTGTTGGTATCTAGATTTTCTTGTAAGGTAAAACTGTCATTTCAGTTGAAGTTTTGGCCATTAGTTTCAAGGTCTGACATTTATAAAATGTGGGATGCAAAGTAGGGAGTGCATGCTAATGTATGTGTCTGTCTTTTGAAACAGTATCTTTTATTATGTCACCAAAGGGAGTTATGCCTCCTCATAGAGGGTGAATAAGAATCATCACCATAGGAGCTGGAAAGATGATCAAGAACAGTTTCTGTTCTTCCAGTGGACCCGGATTCTATTCCCAGCACACACATGGCAGCTAACAGTCATCTGTAACTCCAGTTCCAAGGGAAACAATGCCCTCTTTTGACCTTCACTACTCATTGCATGACACAGGTGTACTTACATACATGCAGGCAAACACTAATACATATAAAATGAAAATAATTTAAAAATTAAAATAATAATCATCAACCTAGACTATTTTCTATCAAATGTCTTTACCTTCAAAATGAGGAAAATTATGTGCATGAAATCTCGAATTGAAACTAAGACAGAATGGTTGGTGAATGTGTGGGATTTTCACTCCCCCACTTCTCCTACTCTCCAAGTAAGGCTCTTTGGGAAATAGACTACTTTGATTGCCCCTGTGATGCCCCTCATGTGCCTTTTGATGATATGTCCTTTCTCTTCTAAGAAAAGGTACTAAGCCATTCCTCATTGACACAGTGACTGGAGCTATGATCAGGCCATACATAATTTTACAGAAGCCAGTCATTCAAAGACATCATTCTCTTATTAATACGTAAATTAAAGCCCCCAAGGAAGGACTACTGGCTGTAAACATGAAACTCAATTTTCCCACAGATAGTAATGAGTGAAGGTTGTAGAGTTCAAATGAACTGAAGGTAAGCAACTGCTTGTGATGTTATCATCTTTCCCTGTGGCATTTGCTGTCATTCTTTAATTCTTAGCATATGGCCTTGCCAGTGAGTTTTCTCAAACACCAGTCATCCACAGCACAGGGCTGTTTCGTGTTATAACTCTAATCCTAATGGATCTGAGAGATGAAATGATACCAAAGTTAGAAACTGTCAGGAAATTTCTTACTGAAGAAAAGCCAGAAATGGGCTGCAAAGGGATGTACGAAGCAATCTTTTCTCGCCAATAAAGAACACACTTTTTCCTGGAAATAGAATTATTTTTTATACTTCCACACACCACAGATAACAAAGGACAAATAAATGGAATCAAAGGTTAAGGTTTTGGGAGAAACTCTATCAATAAATATGTCATATTGCCACGTAGAAACCATTCTCTGTCCTTGAGCTCTTGCAAAGTATTCCCAAGAGCAGTCTTGGAAAAATCCAGCAAAAAATAAACACAAAATATATCAGAGGTGATAAAAGCATCAAGCTAAAGTAGGCATCAGGCTCTGGAGCAGTCTACAAGAATGTACTCTTAGACTGCTGAGCTCTAGAGCCTTTTATCAGACTGGAATGTCAATATTTCAGCTACTGAAAGTTTCACCTGGCCCCACACATTCTAGAAAGCTCTCACCTCTGCTGCAAGGCCTTTTATATCTCAGTTTTAGAACAAGATATTTTCCACCTGGAGAAGGGAAAGGGACTATGAGAAATCAAGGGGTAATGAAGCATGTCGTTTGAATTAATTTATTCTTAACCATTTACCAATGTTTAAATGAAATGTAATGCAGTTGAAAACTGTGTTCTTAATTTACTAGTTAATTTTAAATTAATATAATGGCTGAAAATTCAGGAGCTTATCAAATTATATGTCAGAAATTAAATTCTCTTTCTTAGCAAAAAATTATATATATATATATATGGATATATACACACACACACACACATATGCACATCCTCATGCAAGCTCTGCACATCAGTAACATATTAAACATCCCATAAGAAAGAAAAAAAGATCCTGAAGAGAGTGTTTTAGTAGCAAAAGAATGTTGCTTCCTCAAGTCCACTTACTCAAGTAATCCATGATCAGACAGTGCAACAATGCTTGCCATATAGGGACATGAATTCATAGTGGTGCTTGCTATCTGTTGGAATGCTCTGCTTTGATGGAAATGCTATACAAATGGTCTATTTAGTGTAATGCTTACTGATTTCTTATGTTCTTTGAACATTTGAAATGAACTATTATAAGAAAAGAAGTAAATTTATGACATTATTTAAATTTATGTAGTGTGTGGAGCACATCACTCTTGTATTAAGCAGCATAATTCTGAAGGAAGTGGCAAGGAGAAGGATGAAAAATTTGTATACCCTAAGATAGGGACAATATTTCACCATGGGGCTAGAGAGATGACTCAGTGGTTAAGAGCACTATCTGCTTTTGCAGAGGACCTGGGTTCAGTTCCCAGCACCCACATGGCAGCTAACAACCATCCATAACTCCAGTTTCAGGGGATCCAACTCCCTCTTCTGACCTCCACAGGCATTGCACAACATGGGGCACTTACATACATGCAAGCAATACACTCATACACATAAAATTAAAATAATAAATAGAATATTTTAAAAGATTTGACCATGTGCATAATTTTCTGGATTATATGAGCCTGTAGATGCATTTCAACAGACCGAATTGCTTTAACTATGAGAGAATTATTCTGTAAATGACTCCAAAATACTCAATAATAATAGTCATGAATATTGTCATTATTTGAAGTAGTAAAGTTGGCTATTATCATTCCCAGAAATAGGATAACTTGACTTTAAAGGTATATATCACACCTATAAGTGACTGTTTTACCAACAAAACAGGATGAAGCAAAGAAATTATACAGGTGCCACCCCTTAACATAGATAGGTCAAAAAAGGAGTTTAGAAATGGGAGTACTCCCCATCCATGTATAACACTCTTCTTTACAAGCCAGGAAATACTAGAAACAGGTAAGGCTATACTTTCTTTAGTTTGGCAAATATCATTCACTGATGCTCAAACCTGATGGATGACTCAGATTGTTGTAGAGACTGCAGTGTCTTCTGTTCCCTCTTCATCATTTTATAAATCCATTTGGCTGGAAATGAGTCTTTAATAAAAGGAGACATCAAGGAAATAGGGAAATCAAGACTCTATCATTAAATTTTAAGCATACATATTTCTCCTCTCTCTCTCTCTCTCTCTCTCTCTCTCTCTCTCTCTCTCTCTC